CTAAAAGCCCTTACGAACCGGCGCTAAAGTCCGGTTCTGCACTAGTGTTACATCGAAAAGAGAAGGCACAGTCGAGCATAAAGGTGGTGCTTTTATCTTGATACATACAATAAGGGTCTAAGGCCACACTGCAGGCTCAGCTTTGTTGGAAAGTTTAGAAAAAGGGATACGAGGTATATATATCCATTGCTACTCGATCGAATACTAAAAGCACGCCATGATCCAGGAATTAATTAACAAAGTTGTAGATCACGTTCCTCGTCGGCCTAGTTTAATTTTTTCTTCAAATGCAATGAGCTGTGGCTAGTCTGTGTGTCGATATGGGCTGCATTTTCTTTGTTTGATTTTGAGACTATGGAACCTTGTATGCACACTTTGCTGCTTTGGTTAATAAGAGGGCCGTATGCATCATTCTTGATGCAGAGGCCGGGGTACCCTCCTTTTCGAAAAAAGAAAAAAAATCATCAAACAAAAGGTTGCTCTTTAGGACCTCATGTATATGCTTTGGCACATAAGCACATGGTTGCTGGTAGTGCTCAATGGCGGAGCCACCTCAACGAGCTCACCTCCACCGCGGCCTCCTCGAAGGCCATACCCGCAATCCTCCACGCCCTACAGACCGACCTCCTTATTTCACGCACCCCACGTGACGGAAGCAAGCAAGGGGCGGCGACGCGGTCGCCGGAGGAACCGTGCCCTGCTCACCTACCATCACCCTCCGGCTACACCCTCCGGCTTGACTGCCTCGAGCAAACCGACGAGTGCGCCGACGATGGTCACCACGCTGATGATAGTCTTCATGTTCTTGTAGCCAAACCTGTACACCATAGTCCTCGCCGGCCTATGGACCCTGTAGTTCTCGATTTCCAGCATGGTGCGGAGGTAGCATCTCCCGGGGCGCAGGTGCTTCTCGAGGCTGATGAAGAGGCGGAGCGCGTCCTCGTTGGTCAGCCCCGCTCCCCCCTGCAAGATGTGATTCGTGCGCAGCTGCTGCACGTCCTCCACGCGGTCCGTCACCATGCCCAGCAGGCAGAGGTACGAGCACACGGTGGACCGCTCGTCGTCGGCCTCGGAGAAGTCCGGCGTCGTGCACAGCTCCAGCGCCGCCATGTTGACGAGGAACCAAGCGTTCGCGTCGTCCAGGGACAGCGGCGCCAGGAAGAGCTCGCCGGAGAGGAGCCCCTTCTTGACGCCCATCTCCTTCAGCTCCGCCCCCGTCTTGGTGGCCGTCAGCTGGATGCCCATCTCCGCGAGCTCCACGGCGCTCACGGAGATGGACACCTTCTCGGCCTTCTCGGATAGGCCGCGGGAGGACTCGGGCGAGAGCTTGGTGCCGGTTCCGACGATGTAGTACCGCAGGAGGCCGAGGAGGTGCGGCGGCGTGTAGCTGCTGTCCCACGCGGGCGGTTTCTCGTCGAGGGCCTGCCGGGCCTGCAGGGAGCCTTTCACGCGTCCGACGAGCTTCGGCAGGTCCAGACCGGGCGCGGGCAAGAAGCTCATGAGCGTCTCGACCACCACCCACGGGAGCTGGTTCTCGAGCAGCACCACGTCGGAGAAGATGCGGTCGTTGTCGGAGCTGAAGGCGCTCCTCAGCGCCTGGTCTACTGCCATCCCCTCGTCGTCGTCGTTGTCGTCGCCGTACGTGCACGCGTACAGCAGGTACTGCAGCAGGAAGCAGCCGTCGAAGAACATCATGGGCTTGAAGTCGTCGTCAGCGAGACCACGCACCCTGCCCTCGTCGTAGCAGCCGCGGGCCTCGTCGGCGACGGCGCAGACCGCGGAGTACAGCTCCTCGACGGGGCGGCCGGAGGCCCTGACGAAGTGCCAGGAGGCCACGTGCTTGGTGCTCTCCATCTGCAGGACGGCGGGGCTCCGGCCGTGGTGGTAGGGGCCGATGGAGACGGTCCTGGACGCGGCGTACCGCTCGGCGAGGTCCACCATGCTCGCCGGGAACAGGTGGATCTTCGTCTCCGTCCTGCCGAGCTTGTCCTCGAACGCCTGCGCTGCTTCCTCGAACGCCTCCACCGGACCGCTCCACTCGTACTGATGGTGATGGTCGGTGGTGCTCTCCACCATGACCAGCTGGTGCTGGTGCTGCTGTCCGCTGGAGCTGACGGCCAGATCACCGTGGCTAGCAGCAGGAGCAGCGACTGTCAGCTCCAAAGGGAGGCCGGGAACCCATGCAGTAGCTGCTGGCTCCATGGCCGCCGGCCTCCCCTTCCAGTAATCAGCCACGGCCAGCTGATACTCCCAAGGTACTTGCTGCATGTCAGCAACCTAAGATAACTACTGGAAACTAACAAACACAAATGGCCTAACCACCAGAGAATGAAGAGAGAAGAACAGGAGTTGAGAAGCAAAGACTGCAACAGTTATCCTCGAGCAGAAGATATCGCCCCTCTTTATAGACCAACAACGGTCTACTCACGGTTCGTAATATGCGGCTTTGCATAATGTATAGAGCCATAGAGGAAACATTTCGACTTTTTCGACGTGCAATGCAACACAACCTGGAGGAACCTTTTCAACTTTTGATCCATGATTAACATACTATTAGGCTTTTATAATGTCATGATGATATGCACGCCTTAACGAATCTGCAACTGAGTGTGCAGTAGGAAAGATAGGATGTGCTGAAAACGAGCTTCAATTCACAAGTCAATTACACAGACCAATATATCTGACAGTCTCAACTTCCACTTGTTCGCAAAAAGAAAAGAAACTTTTCCTTGTTGAATGCATGCATGACCATACCCATTTACATCATGTTATTGAGGATGGCCACACCAAAACTACAATGGCCTATGCACAGATTTCTAAGGAGATGATCTTGTGATCAACGAGAACTCCAACGATACACGCTCTCTTGGAAACAGATGGCCTGGCATAGGAATTATTACCCCAGCAGAATGGTACCGTCGTTTAGACCGAAGAGACATACCGATGAACTAAACCAGCTTGTTCAAAAGAAGAAATACGGCAGCCTATGACAGGTTCACGATTGGTTGCGGTTAAGCATATTCTGGAAAGAAATGTACAAGTCTTTGTGCTCTGTTCCAAAAATCTCCTCTGCTTTCGACAAGGTGTCCTGTAGAAATTGATCAAGTATAAATCATCACATTACATGTTTTTTGTGGATATACTAATGAATTGAGAGGTTATAAATACTGGTGAACCATGCTACCTCTCGCGATTGTTTCTGTGCATTAAATTCCTTAATATTTGCCAAGAATGCTCCAAATTGCTCATAAGATAGTCGTGTCCTGGTATTTGTACCCACAAGTGTTAGTATGAACAAACTATAAATTACTAAAGAGAGTAAACAGCATAGTGACCAACCGTGCTTGTCGGAAGAATTCCTTTCCATCTATACGAGGTCGCCCTGGAAATATAAAAGAACAAACATGTTAAGGAACTATCCCAGATGAATATAGCAGGCCCCCATTGATAATCCACTGTGTAGGACCTGCAAATGAGCGGCGTTGAGGAGAGACAGGGGCTGAATACTGATGACTTGATCCATTCCATGATGAAAATGCCGATTGGTCTTCAGAACGTGATCTTGTAGGCGATGTTGGACCAGAATAGAACTTCGGAGTGGATGGACCAGTTGAATATGCTAGTGGGGAACCACTAGAGGATGAAATAATTGGTGTTGAACCAGGAGTTATTTGGGGGGCTACATATGGTGTGATTGAGAACTGGTATCCTGTGAATACTTCCATAGTAAGCAACTGCCAGTCGGAAAAAAATGTAATATTTGTTACGATTTAGTTGTTCAACAGTAAGAGTTAACTAATGACACCTTGGGCTGATTCGGTGATTGTGGATCTGCTGGAAGTATTTGAAGAGGTGTGACTGCTTGAAACTTCATCTGTCAATTCAAGTATTCAATACGAAATCAAGGAAAAGACACAAACTTTGTCTAAACAGAAGTTTTCAAACTTTTGAGGTTGAGCAGCACCTTTCCAGGAAGGAATTCGAGCGGTCCCATTATTTTCTGCATCTACATCACGATCTTCACCTGTTTCTGACAATTGCTGTGCAGTTTTGCAGGTAATGTTACTTGTCACCAATAAAGACCAGCACAACCGAAACTAGAAATATCTGAGTAAGTGGGAAAGAACATATTGATTGATAATACTCACCAATAAATTATCTTCACTCAGCGATTTCATCAACTGCTTCTTAAATGCCTCTAACTGCGAAGAACAGAAGTACTTCAGTAATTTGTCAACTAGCAAGCAAAAAAAAAATGTTGATGTTGATTTGGATAATTAGAATTATGACCAAGTTAATGGTAATTAGCATTCCCTTGTAAGCTCATACCAAGCATTGAGATGAATGGAGACAAGAGTTACAGAATTGTGTAACCGACAGTAAAGTCACGGGTTTGTTTTAATTCTTTTGAACCAATCGCCACAAATCTGGTTTAGTAGCTTAGTCTTCTAAATTTCTTTTTTCAAAATTATCTAGCCATCACAGGGTTCACTATGAGCACAACAAAGTCAAGTTAGTCTACCAGCCACATCACCTTATCGCTTAATGGCCCATTTTTAGTTGAAGCCCCTATACAAGTAAAACTGTACCGAATTGTTTGCAACAATGAAATTGACAGAACTAACAGGACTTGCAATCAGGATTTCGTAGTCCAGCCTAAGCTGATTGATGCTGTGAAATTTTCATTGTGCAACCTTGATAAGTCAAACAAAAGCTGTAACCTTCCAACAGAGTGACACTAAAACTCACAAAAAATTGTGGAAGAGCAGTCAGCAATAGGAAGACAAATTCCATCCAATTTCATGAAATGCGGAGTGTTCGACTCCACCTCTGCCATGGCCAATAATCATGGGCATTGGAAGCCACATCAGAACCATAAACAGACAAATGAAACTAACATGACAAGGCTTTAGACTAGGTTTGTACTACTAAACAGACACTACAAGTCTAAAAATCCACGCTTCTAATCAAAATTGACAGGTTTCACATACAAATACTCCTACACTCTAATAATGAAACATCCTAGTAAGAAATCAGAGAAATCCCACTAAGATCGGAGCTTAAAGATATGTACAAAAATGGGAAATCGCACCTTTGCCAAGTTCCTCGACAGCTTCTTGGCCGTCAGGGCGAGCGTGTCCCTCTCCTTCACCAGCTTCGCCTGCAATCAAGCACGACCACCTAAGCACAAATCTGAATTTCACGGGCAGCAAACGTGTTGGGCGACAGGAGCGCACGTTCTCGTCGAGCGCGGCGAGGAGGCGGGCGTCGGAGTCGGCGAGGCGGGCGCGGAGGTCGGCCTCGCCGCGGTCGCGGTCGGCGAGGTCCCTGCGGAGGCGCGCGACGTCGGCCTCGAGGCGGGAGACGCGGGACGCGATGGCCATGGAGGTGATCTTGCGGGCGACGTCCAGCTGCTCGTACGGGTCAGTGGGGATCACGGCCAGGATCTCGTCCGGCAGGTGGAAGTCCACCCCCGTGGCGGCCCCCACGGCCTCTTGCCTCGCCATCGCTGCCTCCGCCGCCGCCGCCGGGTGCGGACGGGCGACGCCGGCGCTCCTGGAGGAGGTGGCGGCTGCGGCGGTGGTCGCCGGCGCCGGGGAGGGGCAGGGCTGGAAATTTTCTAACGATGCGTTCTCTCCTTCTAATTTTTTAGTAGGAGTATATTTGTTTTTGGGATGTGATGTGGATTGGCAGCTGTATACTGTTGGAGTTCCAACTCATTTTCCATGCTGCTCTCTCTAAGAGAAAACACGGTTTCCATGCCTGCTTTGTCTTGGCTTCCTTTTCTTTTGCCCATTTTTCTACCTACTCCCTCCGTTCGGAATTACTCATCTAAGAAATGAATGTATCTAGATGTATTTTAATTGTAGATACATTTATTTTTATCCATTTTTGTAACAAGTAATTTCAAACGGAGGGAGTATAATTTTGTATTCACGCTACTTTCTACAAAGGTTTAATGAACTTCTTTTTTTTTGTCTTTTTGGTCTTCTATTAGTGCCATACTTGCGGTCGCACCCACAAGATAAATAAGGGTTGGTAGGAAAGACTGTATGATTTGATTTGATGTGATTGATGGCCATTGGTATTTTGAAAGCTCTTGCATGGCGCAAAATCTTCTTCGATTGTTGGCAAGCAGTTTATGCCAAAAAGCCCCTAAAAATAGGAAGTTTATATTCGCAAAAAGAAAAGGAGGCAGTATGGGTTTTTTTCAGAAAAGAAAAGGTGGGCACATAGGCACTGGGCTACTTCTGCTTTAGCGAAGAAGCTCTCTAGCCACGGGCCTGGTCCATAATTGTGGAGCTGTCACGGGCCTGGCCCATTTGTCCCAGAGAAGCTCACAGCCGCACGGCGGGGAGGAGGGCGCAGTGGAGATTAGTACCACCTCGCCTGCCCATGCGAGCGGCCAGCGGAGGGAGGCTATATAAGGAGCAGCAGGGCGGCCTGAGGAAAGCACGCAGCTGCGCAGTGAGCACAAAGCGAACTATTCTTTCGCCTTTATTCATAAAAGTATCACTGCTGATGGCAAAAAATAATAAAAAAAGTGCGGTTCTGGTCATGACATGGAAGTTTTGGTATGGATGATTTTAGTCAAATCAAATCATAGCATTTATTCATAATATCCGGGTATCAATGCGGTAGCATGGCAGAAACTTTTCTAATTACAGTGTGAGTGCGACTAATCAGCACATTCATCGCAGTTGAGCAAAAAAGGAACCGGTATTGGTTGGATCATGAAATATTAGCATCAAATTTGCTGACTGAAATCGTGAGACAATGTCTTGGGGCAGACACAAATAAGCTTTTTATACACGATGAATGCGCAATCTATGTACAGAGACTGCAATCTACGGACTAAGATTGTTAGCTTGAATCTAGAGGGGCTCCCTACAGGATTTGCATGCTGTGCTCCATCCCACGGTTGCGCTGAAAACATGATTTCACTCCAGACTTGTTTCCTCTGCTAAGGTTCCAGATCCAGAAACCTGCATAATAATGTGAACATTAGCGAGCCGACACATGAACCGCAACTCAAAATCTAGTCAGATCTGAAAGAAAGAATTTGTGAGAATTACCTGAGCTGCAGCGCACGAGGCGAGAGCAGCGGGTACTTATGTCTTCACCCACAGTTGAGTTTCAGTTAAACAAACACCAGTCGGCAACACTTCATCCAAGTACTCCCTCCATTCCCAGATATAAGTTTTTTTAGAGATTTCAATATAGACTGCATACGAATGTATAGACATATTTTCACTCATTTTGCTCCGTATGTGGTCCATATTGGAACCTTTAAACAGACTTATATTTAGGAACCGAGGGAGTATTTCAAGATGTAACCGAACAGATTGGACCACAGTTAGTAGGGATGCTGTCAAACGGCTATCCACAGATCATGGAGTAAACTTATTTATTGATGATCCCATTCACTTCACGGTACGCACACCAATGGTTCTGACTTTGAATTTATACCGAGGCAAGTCATCTTCGTCATCATCCTCGTCATCTTCACTCGAATCATCCTCAACTTTGTCCCATTTCGAGTAATCAAGCCCGGAATGGCCCTTCGGTTTTTGGATGGTGCCCCAACACTCGGGTTTTGAAGGCAGACTGGGAGACACTTGAACCTTCGGAGCTTCTGTTAAAGGTTTCTTGTAATCAAGCTCTGAATGGCCCTTTGGTTTTTGTACGGTTACCCCACCCTCGGGTTTAGAAGGCAGATTGGGAGGCACTTCAACCTTCAGAGCTTTTGTTACAGGTTTATTTTCAAGAATCAGTTTTGCAGAAGGTTGATCAGACTTAACAACGACAGTCTCATTCTTTGTATTCTCTTTTGGTGTCAGATCTTCTTTGTCTTCTTCAGTATACAGGGACTCCTCTTCAGACTCTGGAATCGGAGCTAGTGACTTCGAAGTTCAAAATTATACAAAAGATAGGGAGTTAGACTTGGTCAGTAAACTAAACAGCTAGAATTGTTTGAGCATCCAACAGCACAAAAAAGAGAGAAGTTGATGCACTGATGTCAACTGCCAAAAAAAAAAATTCTATACAAAAGATATGTTCGAATACAACATAACAACAAAGCCATGTTCTATTCCTTAAATCTTGCATTCAAATTATTCAAGGGTATCTCTGTACTTATATACTTGCATCTGATCGCACTGCATTCGAAGTAAAGCTTATGCAAGAAACTAGACTTTAGCAGAACAGATTCAGTTAAAGAAGCATACCAGCTGTGTCTTCAGTCGCGCATGAAGGTTCCGATATACTTCAGAGGATGGATTTATCTCAATTAGCCGGTTCACATCAAATAGAGCCGACTGGTAATCTTTTAGAGTGACAAGAGTCTGGGCACGTAGCATGAGAGCTCCAGTATGCTCGGTATCCAACTCGAGAACAGATGTGCACTCTTCTGCAGCCTATAAGATTATCATAAAAGAAGAAAATTCAGTGTTGCTAACCATGGTGATAACATAGAAAAAAGGTACAATAAATGATGTCAGGAGTATTTATTCCAGAGAATACACAACAACAGTGTGCATCGTAACAGGGCACATTTGTTTCTCATGCACATACTAGATCATCAATGCAGATATACTTGACTACTCAACGAAATTTCACATTTTACACCACAATAAAATGTCTCCATAGAAACAGTCCATTCAATATCAAAACCCAGTTGGTCAGATGTATCAGTCAGGCTTCACAGAAGTGCTAGATGGTTCAGAGCCTGAGACACGGTTAAAAATTTCGCAAGCCCATGGTTTATGCATTGTTGGCTAGTACATCGGAAATGCCATGTACACGTTCAGTTTTTATCTTCTGCACGTCTGCTAATTTTGGGAAAGCAACAACCAAGCAAGGTATTACTTGTCCTGGCAGCTTCACCAATTCAGTCAAGACAGTAAACTGGATTTTGATACCCCTTACAGCGCTAAATTTAACAGCAGGTCAGCCAAATTTAGACAACCACAACGGTAAACAGGGTACGATTCATGAGTTGTGCTAGTACATCGTGGCCGTGGCCACAAAGATCATGATAAGAGAGCGATTCAAGCACCCTAAAGCACACAAGCTCGCGGAAATCTCGAAACCCACAGGGCTAAAGACCGCACCTTCACCCTAAACGACACCCCCAGGCGCGCGCCGCACCGGAAATCCGGAATCTACCCAGAGTCAAATCAATTCAGGACAAGTGCAATCAGCAAAGGGAAGCCGGGGTCCCGGGGGACGAGACCTTGTGGAAGTCGTGGAGCTTGAGGTAGCAGGCGGCGCGGTTGCTGTGCAGGGCGATGCGCTGCGCGGGGCCCCGCGCCGCCGCCAGCGCCGCCGAGTAGAGCTCGAGCGCCTCCCGGTGGCGGCCGCCCCGGTAGAGCTCGTGCGCCCTCTCCACCGCCTCCGCCCCCGCCATGGATAGCCGGCCGCGGTCTGGGGCCGAGCGAGCCGGAGCTTGATTTGGGGAGGAGAAGTCGTGAAATTTGGGGGATATTAACGAGGGGAATCGAGAATGAGCTGTTGTCGGGCGCTGGGGAGATTTGAAGGCGTTTGAACGTGCACGGATGATAGCGGGTTGTCGGGCGCTGCTGCCCGCCCGCGGCCGCGAGGAACACGGCCGAGATTGTCTCGCCCTTTACTCTTTCTGGGAATTGACGGAATTGCCCCTCCTCTAAAACCTCGATCTTTCCGAGTCCGACCCCAGGTTGTAGCTTGTGGTAGGTGCCTAGGTGGTTGGTGTGAGAAAATGCTAAAAGAACTGTGGGCGCGTATGATCTAGTGTTGTTTAAAAAATCCGGGTGAAAGCGTATTTTCAAGTTTTGGAAAAGTAGAAAAAAGAAGAATGTACACATAAAGACCGGAATTGTTATCTGGCTAACGTTCTCTGGGAGGGGACGACAAACGAAAACATTTTGATGACAGTTTTAGTTACGACGCGAGATCGAACAGTGACAGTTTTTAGAAAAAAAATGTTTCTCTGAAGAAACTGTCATGCTATTCTGAAGAAAATATCATGCATGTCTGAAGAAACTGCCGGCAAAGAAAAGTTGCAAATGCCATCCCTCCTAGCAAACTTCACTGCCTATTGGAAACCATAAAGAATGGGCAGTAACTTATCCTTCTTACTTTTCGTACGAAGATATGATGCCTCGGCGGTTCCAGTTTAAAGCTTCCCCATTTGTCAAGATTTTACTTTGACTATCAGTTAGACCAATATTCAGTGAGTTAGGTTGGTCATAGTGGGAGTAACATAGGTAGTAACATAGATGCCACATAAGCAAAATTGATGATGTGGCAAGTAGTTAATGAGGAGAGAGGCAAATAGAGTAACATAATATGTTACCATCACATAGCGGTTTCCAATGCATAATGAGTCTACAAAGTAATAAATGAAGGCAACTATGTTACCACACCTATGACACTACCCACTATGAAGGTAGTAACATAGACTAGTAACATATGTATGTTACTAGTCTAAGTTACTCTCCACTATGACCAGCCTTATATGACACAAAAGTTATACCGCTGAACATTTTTAAAATATGAATTCATTGGATAATTTTTGTGACACGTAACCCACATTTAATTCATGAATTGTACAAACATCACAAATTGAGTTACACAAGTACTACGAAACAACTGTGTAACTTGTGTTCACATTTGATTTTTCACATAATGCAAATGAAGTATATTATCACAACAATGATGCGGATAGGTTTGTACTTACGTGTATGATCATAATGTAATTTTTCTAAGTTTTATAAAACGAGATCCTATGTATTCAGGTTACGAAAATCCACACCCGGTCAGTATGTACTCCCTCTGTACACTAATGTAAGACGTTTTTGTAGTTCAAGTCTCTTTTTTTCGAGCAGAGGTAGTGCTATGGAAGGGGGACGTTACATTATTGTTTTGGGGCATTTTCAAATACTGATTGTTGCCCTTCTACAAGAGAAGTTATTTTTAATATCAGATAATTGACCTTATACATGTTGAATTTGCGATTCCCGTGTACATCTATAATGGTGTCGGAAAGTGCTATCCAGAGAATGGGCATATGGATAGCAAAAGTCAAACTTTTTAAGTTTTGAAAATTAAGAATCCTTTTTTCTTTACCGATGTAAAGGATTGATAGAAACTTAACATCGACTATCTTTTTGTAAAGAACATGAATATAAAATGATTGGCACAAAATTACAAGATGATTCTCGCATAACAAATTATGTAACTTACAATGTAGGTTGTATGCAAAAAAAATCTGTAAATTTTAACAACTCGGAAATGGTGTGTTTTTTGTATCAATGTTTTGACAAGAGGGGTTTAGGCAAAAAAAAACCCCAGTATTGGCTAGGTTTATTCATAAATCTTTTCTAAAATAAATAGGCAATTTGTAAGCTAAAGTTTTGTAAAAGCATTTTACGCACTCGTGTTCTAATTACGGAATATTTGCCTTATACCATTTTTATTTTTATTTTGTTTGAAGCGAGATGCTTACTTAAAAGGGGCCAAAATAGGCATATCGGCGAGGTGTTTTTCCTCCATGCTCTCGCGATCAAGGCGAACTGACCGGCGGCTGATCTATCCACTTCATGGGCGTTGACTGTGGGACCCCTTTTCTGTGTCTGTCGCTCCGACGATGGGAGAGGGCCGAGACCCCATGGCTCGGGCCATTAGTGGTATGAGTACGGATAACTTAGGGTTTGTCTCCAATTATCGACTCAAACGAGACGATGGTGGCTTCGTTGGCATGAAAGAAAGTCTCATTGTCTTGCCCTCATTCTTGTGGCGATTCTTACCGCCATGAGGCTTGTGGGGAATTGTGTGGTCCTCGCGGAGGTAGCGGCCGCCGGCGCTTCATTGTCGAGATGGTCTCTTGAGTTGCCATCCACCTCGAAGTCTTCCGGTGGGACAGAATCACGGACCTCCGGCGTGGATTTTCGTCGTCTTCTCGGGACAACGAGCTTAGGGTTTCTCATCGTGCGGACATGTCGACAAGTTCCTGTGTCAGGTGATTCAGACCGATTCAAGAGTTTGACAATAGCGCCTGCGCGGTCTCTAGGTGCACATGCACGAAACTTTTCAGTTGTCGTCAACAAGATCAAACTGGACCCGGTCGGGTGCAGCGAGAGCACCGCGTTATCGGTTTGTTCTGGCGGTGACATCGTTCATTTGATAGTCCGGCCTCAATGTATTTTTTATTATACTAGAATAATGCCTGTGCGTTGCAAAGGATATAAATATTCTATTACGCTAGTTCGTGATTTACCTGTCAATTATAATGCGACTGTGTAAATAAATGTTCATCAAATTCTAACTATGAGTTACCTTATATTTTGATTAGAAATTTGGTAAGTAAACTAAAGTAGAATTGGTTCAGAAGGTAAGTATATTAAGGTGATTGATTATCATATACATGGAAGGTTGAACGAAGGGGAGGTGGAAAAAAAAGTGAAATGGGAACCTTACGTTCTTTTTAAGTAGTAGAGATTTGGTTTTGTACTTCAGATGACGTTTTATAATGGTGTTGGGTCCTTAAAAATGCGGTTGATTATAGTTAACAACTGACTTTAACTAGCAATGTGCCTGTGCGTTGCAACGAATACAAAGTAGAATAGTACTTGTTCACAAAATTGAAAGAAAACACTCTTGTTTTGATATATATATTAAAAATATATTACTTTTCACTCAAAATATATTTCTTAGGCTGTTTTGATGAGGCGAGGGAGAGATGTGGTTTCTTATAAAATAATAAAGGGTTTTCTGCAAATTGGAGCAGAGAAGTGGGCTATTGTTGCAAAAGCGCCACAACTTACCTCACAGCCGTTAGATGCAGATCTAATGGCAAGAAATGACGGATGACAGACACACCATCATCACCAACTGAGTCTTTTATAGGAGCAAAGATAAAAAGAGATCCCTTTGTTTTTTGTACACTACCTTCATTTAACAATATAGTGCGCCCGCGTTTTTCAAGATTCAATTTTGACCGTAAATTGAACCAACAAGATCGACTCGTCAGGAGCAAAAATTATACCATTGAATTCGTATTTTTGCTCCCGGCGCAGTTAGTCTCGTTGATCAAATTTACGGTCAAACATGGATATCGGAAAGCGCGAGCGCACTACATGGTCGAATGAAGGGAGTATATGCTTTGTCCTAAAAGGCCTGCACGTGCGTGGATTGTGTAATGCAATATGACACACAAACACTTGCGCTCCTACAAAATCATTAGAGACGAGAAAGGGAGCCGACCGAGGAAATGAGAGAAAGCAAGCGTTACAAACGAAGGCAGCAAAAAAGGTCAGCGGAACACGGCACCGATCGATATGTCCAGCGAGGGATACGACGGCACGAAACACCTGTACTCGTCGCACCAACCATGTGGTTCCATGCGTGACGCACGGGCAAATTCAACGGGGGTTGGTGGTTGTTGCGCAACGCGGCGGCTACGGCTACGGCCACGCACGTTGCTCGGACCTCCCTCGCGCCGCACACCATCCCGCTGCCCGTGCTGTTGCCTGGCGGTTGGAGGCTCGGCGGCAAACACCTGCTAGAGTGCCGGTGCCATCAATCCGCGCGACAGGCAGCCCCTTGGACCCACGCCACCCACCCAGGAAATGCGCACGGCATGGCCAAAACTGCGCGCCCGTGCAGCACCATGGTCTCACGGAGCAGTCAGGTGGTTGCAGGCTTCGCACCTCCAGCCGCCCCGCGAGGCCAAATTTCATGTTCCGACTTTTTTTTCGATATAAATTCAGGATCTGTCCCAGATTGATTTTTTTTTCTCGAGATTTGACCTTTTTCTTATCGTCATGGGCTCTGGCGGGAGGGTTAGACACTCTACCGCCAGGGGACCTGGCGGTAGGGCACTAATCCACGTCAGCACGCGGAGACGGCCGCCGCCCCCCTCTGTCGCATCCTACCGTCAATCCTACCGTCAGGGCCCCTGACGGTAGGGTCCGGGCAGTTGTTTCGCCCG